CTCCCCCCCGCTGCCCCGCGGACCCGGGGAGCGACACCTGAGCCTGGCGAGCTGCGTGGCTTCTGCAGGCCTGGGGGCGGAACACGGGGTCGTGTGGGGACGCAGGGCAGCGAGGGGACCCCGAGCGAAGCACAGCCACGGGTGTATCTTCACTCCTTCCTCAGGTTGACTTTGACGAGCTGGCGGAAAGCCTGAGCCAGCTGGAGCGACGGTGCAAAGCATCATGGGACAGCCTGAAGGCCATCGCCAAGCACGAGACCAAACCGGGCCTGAAGAGCAAGCTGATGGACTTCCTGAAGGACAGCTCCCGGAAGATCCACGTTCTGAAGGTGGTGCACAGACGCATACTCCACAGGTCGGTCTGCCTGCTGGGCACGGACCCCCCAGGGCTTGCTATGGCTGCCCTCGCGGGGCAGGGGGCGAATGGGGGCGGGGGGGAGCATTTGGCTGGGGGGAAGGGGTGAATGGGGGTGACAGGGTAGAAGGCTGTGGGGGGGGGAGCATTTGACTGGGGGGAGGGGAAATGTTCCTTATTCCCAGTGGAGTTGAGAGTGTTCCCAGCTCTGCGGGGGCAGGGAACTGGAGTGGGGGGGGGAGGCTGGCAGAGGGGGAAGGGGGGGAATCCGGGCTGATTCAAGGACTCCCCCGTCCCTTCTGGCAGTGATTGTCAGGGCGGCCTGAGGCGGCTCCAGGTGCAGGAGGGATCATGGGGGCCCCCCGTGTCCTCCCCTCGCCCCCAGCTGCTCCGTCTCTCGGCAGGTTCCGCTCCTTCCTGCTGTTCCTGGGCTACCCGCCGGCGGCCGCGCGGGACATGAAGGTGACGGGGTTCTGCCGGCTCCTGCGGGAGTTTGCCCTGGAGTACCGCACGTGCCGAGAGCGCGTCCTGCAGCAGCAGCGCAAACGGGCCGCATACCGCGAGAGGAACAAGACCCGGGGCCGGATGATCACGGAGGTACGGGGCTGCCCTGGGGGCTGGGGGCCTGCTGAGCCCGATGCCTCCCCTTCCCCTCATGCTGGCCGTCTCCTCTCTCCGCAGATGGAGCGATTCTCC